ATGGGGCTCTGCCAGGGCCAGTTCTGGGCTCTCACCTCCCTGGAGCGCATCCCGCTGTTCCCGAGCCGGGCTCCCAGCAGGGTGCGGGTGGCCCTGGACTACGAGAGGGGCCAGGTGGCTTTTTTTGACGCGGAGCAGAGGAGCCTGATCTTCGCCTTCCCGGCCGCCTCGTTCAAGGGCCGGAGCGTCCGGCCCTGGTTCCTGGTGTGGGGCGAGGGCTCCCGGATCACGCTGTGCCCCTGAGCTCCCCCAAATCCCGGGGGTTCTCACCATTCCCGCCGCTTCCAGGGATTTGTGCCCTCCCGAGTCTCTTCCCGCTCCCTCGGGGTCGCTGCCCCAAATGTGGGGGCTGCGAGCGGAGCCGCGTCTGTCCCGCCCCACTCCCTTCCCTCTCCTCCGACTTTGGATGAAGCGAAAACTCAACATTCACGCGTTTAAACTTCTTCTCTGTTCGGTCTTTCCTGCTCCTGGGATGTCGGGATCGAGCCGGAATTTCGTTTAATGAAACCCCATTTTGTCTAATGAAACCCCATTTTGTCTAATTAAACCCCATTTTGTCTAATTAAACCCCACTCCCGGTGGTCGCCCCCCCGGCAAGAGCCACAAGCCCCGCGCAGGTGGCCCAGGGACCGTCCCTGCCCCTTCTCCAGGGCCGGCACTCAGGAAGGACGCGGAGCGGGAAATCACAACCTCTTTTTTTTTAATTATTAATGATTTAAATCACGGAACCCACAGACCTGGTGGCCACGGGGGCCTTTTCCCGGGAGAAAACGGCGGCTTCAGGGCAATTCCCCCGTCGGAGGTTGGGGAAAGGCTGAAAAAATGCGAATTGGAGCTCTTGGTTTGGAAGGGGCCGGTTCGGGTGGGATCATCTAGAGCCGGTCAGGAAAGCCTTGGGGAAATTTGCCTTTCCATGCGGATTTTTCCCGCTGTTTCCCGTTTCTCTGCCCCCCAGCCCCTTCTCCACAGCTCCTTCCCGAGAGGAAAAAACAAAATTTTACCTTTCCCAGATTTCCAGAAACAAAGAGATTGTTTTAACCCA